CACCCGCACCACCCCCACCTCCCGGGGGCGGCCGGGGCCTTCCTGCGCTACATGCGGCAGCCAATCAAGCGGGAGCTCATCTGCAAGTGGCTGGACCCGGAGGAGCTGGCCGGGCCGCCGCCGCCGCCGCTCGCGGCCAGCAGCGCCAAGCCCTGCTCCAAAACTTTCGGCACCATGCACGAGCTGGTGAACCACGTCACGGTGGAGCACGTGGGAGGCCCGGAGCAGAGCAGCCACGTCTGCTTCTGGGAGGACTGTCCGCGCGAGGGCAAGCCCTTCAAGGCCAAGTACAAACTCATCAACCACATCCGCGTGCACACCGGCGAGAAGCCCTTCCCCTGCCCGTTCCCGGGCTGCGGCAAGGTCTTCGCGCGCTCCGAGAACCTCAAGATCCACAAGCGCACTCATACAGGTGGGTGTCTGTCCCCGGCCGCGCCGCCGCCGCCACCGCCTGCGCCGCCTCCTCGCCGCTGCTTCGCCTTCTGCTTGCTTTCATTTTTCCCTCCTTCTGCTGCTTCTCCGCATACGTATAACCCGGACATGTGACTTCTTTTTTTTCTCTCCTCCCCCCCCTTTTTTTTTCTATGAATAAGTAATTCGATAGCACACACAGGCCCCGCGCTGGCCTCCCTCTTGGCGGAGTCTCCAGCGCGCCCGCAGCCCCTCCGCCGGGACCGGCAAAGCGCTCCAGCCGCCGCCGCCGCCTCCGCCGCCGCCCGGGAGCAGCAGCAGCAGCAGGAAGGCGCCCAGGACGGTCGGCAGCCCCCACGCGCCCGGCCTCGGGAGGTCCGGAGGCCCATGGGGAAGGGACCTCTGGCTGGGGTCGCCCGGTGGCACCTTCCTTCCCCACGGGACGCAGGCCTCGAGCGACCGCTGCGTTGCCGAGATACGGCGTGGGAGGGGCGCGTGGGACTTGCTGCAGTTTGGGGGCTGGCTGATCAGTGCGGCCTCACCCGGCAAGAGGGGTCCCGGTGCCTCCGGGGCCGGTTGAGGAACCTCAACCCTGGAACCTCAGGAGGCTTCCAGCTATTCACAGGAACTCTCTTCACACGCTTTTCACGGGCGCGCATCTCACACTAGTTCACATGTTCCTGACCTCGTGCACCCACTCCTGACACCACGACTTCCCCTGCACATACACCTCACTCAACACTTCATTTACATAACCTCACGCACCCACTCACTCACATTCCACCGGCCCTACCTAGAGTGTGTTGGGGTTTGTCCTTTTAAAGAAGGTTCTAGTCCCGGTGAGGGTGGTTTCCTGGGTCGGCAAGGCCTACCCTTCTGCGGAACTTGGGGGGAAACTCTCAACTCCATGAGCATCCCCCCTCCCATTGTACCCCAACGTGGTGGCTCTGGTGAGGCATGGGGCTGTAGAGGGATGGGTCCAGTGTCCCTGTAGAATGCACAGTCGGGCCAGGCTAAAGCTGTGGAGCGCGGGTGTAGTCGAGATTTATATGATAGGCAATATTACTCCTCCGAGGACACTTAGGTAACCTGAGTTTACATTCAGTAATCACTTGACTGATTTATCTGCGCATCAGAGACCTAGAGGCAGCGCCAAACATGGGTCCTTATGTAGGGCCGAGGCCCTGAGGCCTTGAGGACTTTTTAAGAGCATCCTGGTTTGCAGCCCCAGGCCTTGTGCTTGTGGCCCTACACCTTGCAGGCCTCCCTGTGACTCACAGGACCCGCACAAGGACAGGACCGGCTAGAAGTACGTTTTCCCTCGAGGCCTCTTTTTTTTTTCTTCTTCTTCCCTTTCTGTAACTGGAATCAATTCTCCTTAATGACTTTTCCAAACGGAAACTTCCCACGAGACTCTCATAAAAACAACCAGGCTAGCTAAGGCAGCTGCGTGCTCAACACTTCCCCCACGCAGCCAGGGCTAAAGGGAACTTCAAAATGCTGTGCAGGAGGCTTTAGGCCCTCTCCATTTTCCCAGGCCTCGGGAAGCCAGTGGACCTTACCCTGGAGGCTGCTGGCAGCTGACCAAGGAGAAACTGACAGACTCGCATCATGGCTTTTGGGTTCCCCCAGGATAGGCTACCCTCTGACCCTACCCGAGGCAGCAAGTGGTGGAGGGGACCCGCGGCGGGATTTTCTTTCTGGTTCCACGTAATGGGGATGGTTACATTTCTTGTTCTCACTCCCAGCGGCTGCCTGGACCCTTGCTGGAGCTTGTGGGGCGCCCCTCGAGAGGGATGGATGCTGGTACCACAGGATTCAGTTCATAGCTAGTGTTTGGCTGTCCCAGGGCTTTCTCGGCCATTGGGCATTGTATGGAGAGATAGAACATCTCTGCTTCCTTTCCTCGGTGACACACTGCCTTCCCTTGTGGGGTTATCTGGGATCCCAGAACAGATGGATCAAAGTACTAATCCCCAGGCCACTCCCGAAGGCCTGTTTCCTGACCCACGTGCCCTCAGCTGCGTTTATAACCCGTGTCTGGCCGGTGTCTAGAGGGAGTTGGCAAGATCTAGGCAATATCCACACGGCTCTTTGCTACAAGCACCAAGTCTCCAAAACTCTGCATAGTTCAATTTTGACATGACCCCTCTGTCAGTGTCTGTAACAGAAACACTGGGGTCTCCCAGCCCTTCTGGTTAGGACTTTCTAGGCCCCTAAACAACATGGGCTGTTCAATTATATCTAGCTTCTTTTTCTTCCTCTTTTCCTGGCCTTTATTCCCTAACTTCTTCCTTGATTCCCACCCCGTGTCTCCTTCACTGAGTCCTGCAGCTCTTTCCAGGGTCATGGAGGAACCGGCAATATTCAAAACACTTGCTTTTCCCAATCTAAGAGATGTAGGCTGCTCAGAAAAATGAGAATTTTGAAATGTAGTGCATTTGCTTAGAATGCATAAAACCATTTAAGCCTCCATATTGAAGGGCTGATTATATTATATATAGTGCATGTATATAAATATATAGCACATAATATGCACTTAAAGGATGCTGTGTTAAATGAGGCTTACCTTGTCTTACAGTGTAACACAAAAGTCCTGACAAATCCGTGTTCTGGAGGAAGGCATTAATTTTGTTTTGTTCCATCCCATCTGTAGAGAACTTTAAAGGTGGTGGTTATCAATGTGAGCTGTGTATCCCTTCTACTGGTAGATTAATGTAGAAGACACATTTCAAGAATAACTAATTTCATTTTTAAACAGTATTTCCAGTTATGGAAAGTTATATTTTAGGTATCTAAATATTTTCAGCTGTGTTATACTCTGGCATTGGAGCAGTTACCATTGATGAAATATGAAAGACAAAAAGACCTCATTGAAATATTTGTAGGGAGAAAATAAGATAATTAACCACAGAAATTTATCTACTGTTATGCTTTTTGAAATATACTATCTAAAACAAAGAACATTGCTCTATGTTCTGTGTCAGAGTAGCTGCTGGTTTGTTTTTTGTTTTGTTTTTTTGTTTTTGTTATTTTAATCCTCTTAATTGAAAAAAAATTAGTATAAAAAACAGTACTTTGAGATGACTTATTCAGTTTTGGGCCTGAATACATCAAGCTCATAGATAGTGATGTCAGAGGGAAACTCAGTTGTACTCTAACCTGTTGTCATCTTCTCTTGTTTATAAACACCGAAGTAATTTGGCTAAGTCTCCCTAGTTACAGCTAACTAAGCAGTCTCACTTCCTGGACGTGCGGCATTGTGTTTAAGAAGTTGTGTTCTTGGTGCTGATGGATAAATTAGAAGAAGTGACAGGCCAAAGGACTTTAAAAAAATTGGTTTTGGTTATTAGGAGTGACGAACGCTGTCAGGATGAGGCAGGTCTGCTGAGGCTGCAGTGTTGACTGGACTCGGCTCCTCTTACACCTTGGAGTTACAGGGGTAGTTGGTGGAATGCAGAAGCCAATGGCCTGACCTCTGCCCGACCAGCTTTGTAAAATCTTGGGATAAGATTATGTGTTTCACAGGCATGTTCAGTTTTTCTCCTTCTTTTCCCACCAGTGAAATCTAGGGAGAGTCTCAATAACATGCCATTGTCATCTTGCTGTGCCCCCAAGCTACTGTAAATTAGTATATATGTTCATGTTTGTTTTTCTTTTTCATTCTACCCATTGTTTTGGAAATATGGTTTCATCGGTGTTTATCTTAACAGGGGAATCTTACACTTGCATTCTTCTGTGTTCAGACCCTAAGGGAGTGTGTGTGTTGGGAGGGGTGTGGATGTGGGGGGGGGTAGCATGGAGGCCCTTAGTGGCCTTTAGAGGCACATCCTGGACTTTACTTAGATTTCACTCTGACACCTCTGGTGCTATAGGAGCCAACATCTGGTCCCTCACAACCCAGGTCCAAGCAAAGCCTCCAGGCCAGTGGACAGAGGCCAGGCTTGTAGTGTCTCCTCCCTTGCATGCCTGGAATACTGCAGTTAGGAATAAAGCTGGGAGTTGCTCTTGGTGGTGGGGACAGGAATGCACCCCTGGTTCTATTCTAAGATTTCTTCAAATGAGAGGTCTCTGGGAAGCCATTGTTAACTTTTCCTGTGTTTTGTTACAGGGGAAAAGCCTTTCAAATGTGAATTTGATGGCTGTGACAGGAAGTTTGCCAATAGCAGTGATCGAAAGAAACACTCCCATGTCCATACCAGCGACAAGCCCTACTACTGTAAGATTCGAGGCTGTGATAAATCCTATACTCACCCAAGCTCTCTGAGGAAGCACATGAAGATTCACTGCAAGTCCCCCCCACCTTCTCCAGGAGCCCTTGGTTACTCATCAGTGGGGACTCCGGTGGGTGACACTTTGTCCCCTGTGCTGGACCCAGCAAGGAGTCGATCCAGCACTCTGTCCCCTCAGGTGGCCAACCTCAATGAGTGGTACGTTTGCCAGGCCAGTGGGGCCCCCAGCCACCTCCACACACCTTCCAGCAATGGAACCACCTCTGAGTCTGAAGATGAGGAAATGTATGGGAACCCTGAAGTTGTGCGGACGATACATTAGAATGGTTATTAATAAGTAAGATAGTAAGTGGGAGTCCTTGGACCATAGCCTAACCTGAGACAAACTGGTGACTCAGACTTGCCACCGGGTCTAATTAGCCCTATTTATTCAGTATGAAACCCTATGGTGTTTATACATTTAATTAATTTAATTAAGATATTTGGGGTTTTTTTTTCTCTTTCTCGTAAAAAAACAAAAAACAAACAAACAAAAAAAACAGGACTGGAGATACAGCTCAGTGGTAGAGCGATTGCCTATCATGCATGAGGCCCTGGGTTCAATCTCTTAACACTGAAGAAAAAGAAGGAAAAAGCAAACAAATAAAAAGCAACCAAGCTGGACTTGTCCATTGCAGTGAGACAGGCCTGGAGGCAGAGTCCATAGAGGAAAATTAGTAGAGAAATTGAGATGTACACTGCCAATACAGTGTGTGTGTGTGTGTGTGTGTGTGTGTGTGTGTGTGTGTGAGTATATCTAGTAAATGGGAGAAAAAAGAACATTAAGTCAGACCTTAACATATCAACCAGGCCCTCTTCATGTCCCGGAGTGCCTCTCAGATGCCTTTGGCACCATAATGAGGGCTGCTTTTGAGCCTTCTTATAGAGACCTAATTCTGCAAAGGCCTCTTGATTGTAAAACACACGCTTGCTGCATTGACAGCAGATCCTGGACTGTGCCTGTATCCAAAAGTCTTTGTATAAAACAAACAAACAAACAAAACCTTAATTTCTGATATTTATCATTTTAATTCCTATGCTTTTATTACCAATCTCACCGTAACATGATATTTTTATACAGGATTGTTCCTTCAGTATCTTTCCTTGTGTGATTTTAAAAAAAATGAAGCAAAAATAAATAAATAAGCGAAGTGCAGCCACCGTGCTGTATCCCCCTGTATCATGCTACTGTGATTGTTCAGACAGAAGAGCTGCTAAGACAGACAGCTGGGAAACTGTGATCTTTTGTAAACTAGTGTAGTTCAAGTGCTTTCTTTTCCCTCTGCTGGGTTGTGCTGCCCTTTTGTTTTTAAACTGGGAATTTTAGATGCTGCTTCCTCTTGCTGCATCCTAACTGGTTGGGTAATAAGGAGTCATGAGTTATGTTTTGACCATGAGTTTTTTGGGGTGCCAGCATGCACAGTAAAGGCTGAGGAGGTGTTATGGTGGCATACTGCCTATTTTTTAAAGCTTTTTTTTTTTTTTAAAAAAAAACAGGCCAACTCCTTTTTATACTACTGTGCCAACCTTTTTTAAAAGTTATTTTTAATGCATTTCTTTCACCTGCGCCATGAGCACTGAGTCCTCTTCCATTTGAAAATGACAGTATGAAGTATATGATTTACATTACAAGAGGAGGAGTTGCTACCACCAAACACTGATGAATGTGTGACCTTTGCCAGGGCTGTCAAGCCAGGACACAAAAGGTCAAGGACCTAGGACAATAACTCTTGGTCAGTTTATGTTCAGTTGGTACAACACATCTCCTGTGCAAACTGTAGTCCAGCAGAAACATCATACATATACTAAAGAGCACTAATTTATCCTCAGAGACCTTGAAGACACCCCCCGCCCCAGGATTTGTAGAAATCTGTTTTGTGTGCTGTGAGTGGTTGATGTAGTCTTGTCATTGTTAATAAGTGTCTATGAATACTTTTATTTGTACAGTTTTTTAATTAATTTATTTTTGAAGATCTTTTTTTTTTTTTTTTCTGGAAGAGTTCAAAGCACACCAAAGAAATATATTATACATTCTGGTGAAAGATTGTCATTTATGATCCATGGTTTATTTAAGAAAAAAGAAAAGAAAAGTGGGAAAATATAAAATATATTTTTAAGCTTACTTGAATGGACAAGGTAATGTGAAAACCCAAGACTCTTCCTGCATGTCTTTCTGCCTTGTGTTGATGAGATTATAGTTTATAGATATAAACTATACAATGTTTAGTTATACTAGTACAATGCATGGTGCTGTTATGTGGACACCTTTCAATGTTGTCTTCAGATTGTTACAGTAAATAGGACACATGCAGACCCTCCTTTACAAAGAGAAAGACCTACAACTTGAATATAAAATAATTCTACATTTTAAAAGTTTATTTGATTTTTTTTTTCCTGTTATTTACTTTCAAGGTCCTTTCAAATAGAAATGATAACGTATGAACTTGGGTGGGATAACTTATGTACTGTAAATTTGTTAGGACAAAATATTCCTGATGTACAAGTTGTTTTATTTATACAACTTTTTCAATGGTAGTTTGCACTATTCTTTATCATGTTACAGGTTTATTTATTATGAAACAAAGGAATATGTATTTTATGTATTTTGCCATGCATAGGTTAACTCTGCCACAGATTTATTGGTTCCTGATGCACCGAAAATAAAACCTTAAAGTGTGTACCTCCACTAGAGAGAAAGCGAGACTGATGATGGAATGACAAATGTAATAAAGGTATTCTTCCTATGTATTGCTGCATTTTACCCATGGCATATCTCTGTCATTCTTTTAAAACAGAACAGTTGCTATGGTAGTGAACATTAGCTTTGCCCTTCCCTGATCTCTTAGACTCTGAAGGGAACAGGGTAGGGGGGAGCTTGGCTTACTTACAGTTTAGTCTGGAGCAGTGATTCTCAACCTTCCTAATGATGTGACCCTTTAATACAATTCCTCACATTGTGGTGACCCCCAACCATAAAGTTATTTTATGCTGCTACTTAGTGACTGTAGTTTTGTTACTGTTATGAATCGTATTGTAAATATCTGTTTTCTGTTGGTCTTGGCAACCCCTGTGAAAGGGTGGTTCAGCCCCCAAAGGGGTCACAACCCACAGGCTGAGAACTACTGATCTAGAAATCCCAAGAAATGAATGAAAACAAGTCCATGCAGGTTACAAGTACAGTTGTACAAATCTCAGTGCTGGTTCCTTCCACTAAAATTAGTAATGAGCCCTAGTGACTGGAAAAAGTGAAGCTGAGCACTTCTTTGGTGCATTGCTTCCACACTAAAAGGAGAAAAAAGAAAAAGTAATTTTGAAAATAAAATAAAGTGAGAGGACAGTAAGACTTGGACATGAGGTGGGTGACAGCAAAACTGCTCGGGAATGATTTATAATTATGGATGAAATTGACTAGTGGGTACCAAATCAACTCACATCAGGTCATAGGGTGAGGGGAAGATCAAATTACAATTCTAGTTTATTTTGGAGGGTGTAACTTAAGCTTAGCATTTTGGGGCAGGTGTTAAACAATTCTTTCATGGCAACAAAATATTCCAGCAGCTCAAATTGATATGTTTGGTAATGCATGTTAGCAAGCCTGGCTGTTTACTTGTTTGTTGTGTTCACTACTACAAAACAGATCAAAGGCAAGTATTTAAAAAACAATTGGTAGTCACATCAGTAAGCATTTCTCCAAAAGGGTAGAGTGGCTTTTTATAAAGTCAGGTCTGTTAAATGTAGTAAAGGTGAAATAGGTTGCCAAGAGTTGTTTTAAGTCCGATGACAATAGCCAGCACACGAAGGGGAAAAACACTCGTCCAGGAGGGCTCCAGTCAATGGGGAACTCACAGCTCTCTAATGAAGTTTCTTGTGAAAAGAAGAGTGACACAGAGCCACCAGGACATGAATCATTCATGGGAAATAGAAAAGCTATCTGACAGTGAGCAGAGCCCGGTATAGATAAACAAGTTTCCCCTTCTTATTTTCGGCTTTAAAGACGCACAGTCCCCCACTCCCAGCGTCCTCTGTCCGTCTATAGAGTTAAAATTGACCACTGCTCGTCCCGAGCCACTTCAAAGCAGTTTAGTCCAGAACGGAAGGCTTGGCGCTTGGACAGTCTTCATGGTGTGTTAAGATTTCTATGGCAATTGGCAAGCAAGAGGTTCCCATCTGAATATGTCTCAAAGAAAGCCACTTATTGACACTAAGTTGGCTATCATCAAAGACTTCATCTTCCCTCTGCAAAAAACGTGGCCTTTGCAAACACTAAATCGGCCACCTTTGTTTTCCAGGCCAGGAGGCTCTTTAAACACACGGTTCTTCCCTCGTTTATATATTTCTCCTGTTGAAATGTTCTTTAGTAAAATGAATGCTAGGGAAGTCTAAGGTGCTTAGAAAGAGCTACAGGGTGGGAATTATATTCTCTTAAGTTGGAGGTGGGCCACACAAGTGCCCTGGCTGGCCCTGAGGCCTGAAAACCTTGCAAGCTAGGCCCAACTGTCTGTCCACTGAATATTTAGATTACAGTCTGGTAATTGATATATTTCATTTTGTGGGAGCTTTTGGAGACCTGTGCTTTTCTGAGTCCTCTCTGTCTGTGCTGTGACTCGTAAGGAGGGATGCTGGCCACCACTATGCTTAGGTCCCAGTTTGGTTAGGAACTATAACCTCAGGAGGGGCAGGAGAGAGGATTGCATTTCTCAAGTGGTCACCTTAAATCAGAGAAAAGGAAACCCATCAGCAGGCAGACAAAACAACCCACAGACTTAAGAATCCATCCATCTGCCAGTGGTTTACCCAAACACCACCGGTGACCTCAGGAACCTTCCAGGTCTGGAAGGATGGAGGAGAACCACAGAGAAAGCACCCTGGGGTGGCCAGCACACTTCCCTTCCCTGTGAACAAAACCTCTTAGAGACCTCACGCCCACGCAGGAACATCCCAGAGCACACATTCACACACTACCTAAGTGCCTAATCAGGCAGGGAGAAGTTCAAAGACGTGTTCTTTGAAATTCAAACTAGTGTTTTTATGGTACATCCACACAGAGTCAGAATTGCTATGGCAATGGGCAGGACCAGGAGAGTCTCTGGCAGGCTGTCCACAGCAATTTGAGACACTCTATTAAGATACAGTTGCAGTGACCCTTACTTTCATGGCCAGTTAGTTCAGTCAATTCTCACCTCATCAGAAACACATACGCAAAGATTATAAATATATGATATATGTGTGCATATCGTATGCATTAGCTTTTTGTTGTTAGTGATGATTCCCCTATAGAATCTCCTGGCTTGAAAGAAAGGAGAAAGAATGGAGAGGGAAAGCGCAGTGGGGGTGGGGTAGTGATGTCACAGGGTAGGGGGAGAGAGGCAGGGGAGCCTGATCCCCAGTACCTCTTCCTTCTCTCCCCACCTAAGCACTTATTTGCAGAGCGATTGTTCTTTGTTTATTTAATACAAGTACTGTGTGAATAGTGAAAAATAAACACGATGAAAAATAACCAAACAGATGATTCCTCGGAGTGAAAAAGCCCGGACTTAATAAAAGTGCGAAGCAGTCACCGCTCAATGAGAAACGCTTTGAAGTGGAACTTATTATAAGAGGGATACTTCAGGGTTGCCTTAACGACGCCGCTGAATCGAAAGCGCTCGCCTTTGTCAGCGATTTGTTCTCCTTTGCTGGGGTGCCCGGAGAAATTACTTACATGGGCTGCCTTAACATGCGGCCTGCAAATCAGTAACTTTGCAGCCCAGACTTGCAGACGCCACTGGACCACCGACAAAAAGAAGTCAGAGGGAAACGCACCAGCCTTTCAGCCGAAGCTCTGGGGACGGGGCTCGTGGGCGTGTTGGGGCGGCAGATAAGAAGTTGTATTACAACCAGGCCCCCTCACCCGAGCTCACCACTCTAGCTCCCTGCCCCTCACCCGGAGAAGGTCCCGGGGCCTCGGTCCCTAGGTGATCCGGGCTCCTGCGGCTCGCGGGCCCTCCAGCGAGGGGCGCTCTTGGGCACACAGGCCCAGCGCCGTATTTTCCCAGCAGTCCGGGCCATATTTAATAAGGGTCGTTTATCACTCAGGCGCTTTGAAGGGTCGCCTCCAGCCCTGTGCCCATTAGAAAGGCGGAGGTGACATTTAAACTCCGTTTTCAAGGATCGCGGGGGGATTTCATTGAAAAGGCAACTCGTTTGTCTTAGGAGCCTGGAAACAACCCCCTCCTCACTCCTTTTGACCACATGGCATAACTCAAAAACAATAGTTCAAAAGTGAAATGGCATCGTGGTGTTCACTGGGAGACAGGCCCCCATCTAGCACCAGAGAAAGGGGTAGTCCTCAAGACAATGTGCTTTTTGTGTCCAACTCTGTCACGAGGATTGTGTTGTTTGCTTTGGAGGCTGCGCCTGTTATACTAGCCTGAAAGTGCTTGTGTTAAACAAGAGTTATGAGTCATCCAAAACAACAAACATTTTGATTTTCTTTGCCTAAAGGGCTTTCCCTGGCTATGGGCACCGTGAAAAAATAATGTCCTTGCTGAGAAAGGAACACCAGTAGCTGCCTTACAAGCGGGCGCATTAAATATTGAATGACAAGGGAAGGAGCTTGTCCGGGGCACTCAGCCTTAAAGTCTTCCTTCAACTTTGTCTTCGGTGGCTGCTGAACTATTTAAGATGGTATTAATTAAGGCAGCTTCGGATGCTGTGGAGCCGCCCGGCCCCTGGGCCACGCTCTATCAATGGGCCTGTGTCCCCAGGCTCTGCTCATGGGTTGGCTGAAATGTCACTTCTCATTTGCAGGCTGAAGAGAAGTGACCATCCTACACTGAGGGCGTCGTCGGGAATGCAGTCAGCAGCTGTGGACCAAATCGGAACAGCTGTTAGCAAGGGAGAGCAGAGGGAACCCTGTGCCCTTTTTGGGCACAAGGGCCACTTGGGTTTGGATACCTCCTCCTTTTAATCCTTCCTGTGTGGGAGAAATTAAAACACCAGTCCTGCAAAAAAATCCATTAACCAGTCTGGCTCCCACAAAGAAAGACAAAAGCTTGGTGCAAACAGGCTTCTTAACTAAGACTCCCTGATTCCTCTAGGTCCCTTTCACAGATCATAAACAAATAAAGGTACCAGGACTCCAACCAAGGATCTACAGGTGGAGAAACTGAGGCCTCAAGTGAGGCTATGAAATCATTTCCATCAGTGTTCTCTGAGGAGTGAAGGCTGAGACCCTCACTGAGACCAAAGGCCCAAACGGAAGCCAAGTTCTGTTATGGGTGGGCCCACACCCAAACCCAAATAGAAATTTATTCCAGCTTTTGGAAATTTCTAGAAAGGAGAAAAGAAAAAGGAAAAAGGAAAGAAGCCTACAGCCAACTAATTGTGGTATAAATGAATCCATGCTTCAATAATAGGTTGAGTATGGCCTCTCAATGAAGAGAGACAAGAGTTGGCTGGCTGGAGAGACCTGGGCATGCTGGCAGATTGATTTCTGCAGCCTGAAGCCTCCCCACCCCCATCCCAGGGTGGGGGTTTCCAGCTGGGTTTGAGCTTCCCTTTCCTCTATGGGCCTGAGTGATTTGGACTCTTGCTGTATGTCAGGGGAATTTAGTATCCTTAACTGCAGATCTATTTGCAACGTTTGATTTTTCCATCTTGGGTGTGCTCCCTCCATCCACTCGTAGGGCTCTGTCTAACCTTTTGGATAAGGAAGGTCACATTTCCCACCAAGAGCCTATGCTGTAAAAACCGGAAGGAACCTGTACCTGTTCTGAGGAC